AAGTCAGACCAATCAGAAATGTTCTAGGCTAAGAATGTTTAAAAATGCCTGGCAGGGCACCCCTGTGAGGCCCACACTCAATGTCTAGTGAATCAGCAGGTGCCCACCCTTCTGAGGGAGATCAGATGCAGAGCCCAGTGGCTGTGGGAAGTGAGGCACTTTGGACAGCCCTGACACTGGGAGCCACGTGGACAAGGGTGAGAGGAAGAGAGCTCTTCTGTGGTTTCATCAGCCCAGATAAGTACAAGGGCATTCAATCTCAGGCACAGAGCCAAAGCTGAGCTTTGCCTGGGGTGGGAGGAGACTGTAGGCCTCCCACAGGCCAGAAGCTAAACAGCTGTTTTCCTCATCGCCTCTTCCCTGAGGGCTTTAACTGCTGACTTGAGCCTTGCCTATCTGCTCTGGCCACCAGGACTATGGGCTGCAGGAGGACAGTCCTGTCCTGTTAGTAGAAACATGATGGAACACAGCCTTGGGGCCCCCCAGCACTGACCTCCCATTCATCAGCATCGCTGTAGAGGGTGACAGGAATGTCCTGGGGGCTGTAGAAATGTTTGGCTCTTTCAGTTGTGACCACTGCTACTTCCAGCTGTCAACAAGAAAAAGCAGGGGGTGGAGGGTGGGGTGAGACACTTTACCAGAGCCACCCCTGGAGGTCATGTGGGGCCAGGACAGGCAAGTGCTTTCTTCATATCCTGGCTACAGAGAGGACTTCTCCCTCTCTGGCAGTTTGCATAACTACTTCCAACTGTCACCCAAAGGTCAGGCCCCACCAGGTGTGGCTGTTTCACTTCCCTATCTAAGGGGTTACTGAGGAATCAGTCACCAATCATGCAGTGTATATAAAGCTACAGGCTCCTTTTGCTCTGGCAGAGTAAGGTGAGAGGCAGAGCCAGGCGGGAAGGAAACAGGGTAAGAGGGCCCCAGAGGCCATGGCTGGCAGGAGGGGCCATCCCAAGGTGGATAACAGGTCCTGAGCTCTGGACCACATCAAAGGCTTGCCCTCTGCAGGCCAAGGCCTGGGAGCTGGGGCCCAGCACATGGTGTCTGCATCCATGACCCAGATAGAGAACAGGCAGAATCCCTTCTCATACTTCTAGGAACATGGGCTCATGGGCTCTGGCTTCAGACAGGCTCCAGGAAAACCAAACCCATGTGCCCTACACTTACAGGGCAAGAACAAAGTTTACCTTCACACTACTCATTTACTAGATAAGTTAATAATGTAAACAAAGGAGATGGTTAAGGTGCTTAACAGAATGATGGCCATGAGAAAGGGCACATGGTAATGTTAATGGAACTAGACTAGTTAAGCTGGCAAGGGTAAAGGGGCACAGAAGAGGTGGCTGAGAGAGGAAAGATAGGAAATCACAGCTTTGGAGGACATTTACCCAGAGGGGAGAAATGTGAAGAGTGACAAGGACAGAATCGCTGACTAACCAGAGAAGGGGTCATGGGTGGCAGTGTCTGGGCCAGGTCCATTCTGCAGACATGCTGTTTGGCCTGCATGGGGTTTGAGCCAGTATATACAAATCAAAAGATTTCACATAGAAAATTGCATTTCCTGGCTTCTCCTGAAAAACTGGAAGCTGGGTCCACATTCCTACTGATAATGACTTACAGGGATTTGAGGACACTGCCTCTTTGGATGGGGGTGCCTATGCCCATTCAACTTAGTTCCCAACCCTCCCTATTGTCTTCCCAAGGCAACCTTCTCCTCATTTCTTTCCTGCCTGTTATGGGACAGTATTGTGTACCGCACTTAAGAGCAAAGCAGAGAGTAGAAGTCTTAGAGAGGCAGTTTACAACAGAACTTCAGAAGGTCTAGTGTTTCCAGCTCTACTGGAGAGCTCTTGGACTTGTCTATTCTCCCTCTCACTTCCCCCTAATAATCTACCATACTCAGAATTTGCTCAAAACCTCAGGGACCTTTTAATAAGTCATTTAAATCAAACTCCCACCAAACACAGGAGTCCCCTCTAGAACAGCCCTGAACAAGCCTTGTCCAGTTCTAAACCAAATGGCAATTGAACAGGGCTACCATCCCTCCACTCAGTTGCCAAGGGACCAGCAGCACAGGTGGGGAGAGCAGGAGGCAGGATGGTGCTGAGACTCTTAAGACAGTGATAGGGGGAAGGTATGGGACATAGTAAGTTAGAGGTAACTGTAAGAAAAATAATATATAACTTTTAAATGAGCAGAGAAAATTCAATCTACACAATAAAGGATAGGAAAGGCAAAAAAGAAGCAGAGAGAAAACATGAGAAGTACAAAGCATTACATAAGATGGCAGAAGTTCTAATATAATACTAATTGTAGCAAATATATAATGGGTTAAACTCCTTGATCAAAATTTGGACTCTTATACTGAATGTTTTTAAATCCATCAATCACATCAAAATGGACCTAAAAAGACACATTTAAAACAAAAGGATATGTAAAGGTTAAATGGAAGAATAACCTTTCAGTTAAATAAGGTGGATTAAACTCTGCTCCCTCACAAAAACCCACTGAAATAAGAGTAAAGGGATTCTGTAAATAGTATGAACCACCCAGAACAAAGAGAATAGGACAAAGAAAAACCAAACCAAAACAAAACAAAAAGCAGTTAAGATATGTAAACACAATTGGAAGATGGAAGTGGAAAGAGGTATTAGCAGATCTAATCAGATCAGATTAAATGAGATCAGATGCTACTTTTTTTTTAATATTCAGGGAACAACAACAAAAAAAACCTCTTGGAAATTAAAATTCTAAATAATGAAATAAAAAACTCAATATAAGTTTAGAGGAAATCATCTGGAAAGTAAAAAAGAAAGATAAAGAGATGGATAATAGCAGGGAAAAAAGTTTTAAAAGTCAGAAGATCAACTCCAGAGTTCTAAAATCTGACTTATGAGTTCCAGAAGAACAAGAGAACAGAAAAACAGAGGGAAGAAATTTACAAAAGAAATGAAATGAAATTTCCCAGAACTGAAGAACTCAGATGGGAGCCCTCTCTCCTGCCTGTAGGAGTCTGAGGTGTCTAAGGGTTTGGCTCAGGGAACCTGCAGTATCATGTCCCTGGACCCACTGAGTATCTGTCAATGCCTGTATCCACACCAACTCTTCTGGAAGTTAGATCCTCTTGCTGATGCATATGGAGTTCACAATTAGCAAAAAATCAGGAGTTCTTTTCACCCATGTTGCTACTAAACCACAAGCCCTAGGCTGTACCTGCACAGTTAATTTTTCTAGTCCCAAATGCAGTTTCTCATTTTTCCCTGGTAAAGTCCACCTTTCCAGAGTTGGCCCACTGTTTCAGTCTATGGAGCTCTTGGCCTATTCCTCCTGGGCCTATTCTCAGCCACACCACCATCAGTAGAGCCCTGAGACATAAATTCAAATCATGAACAGAAAAAGGTCAAGAGGAGAGCCCTTCCATAAAGCTAGGGATGGAAATGCGGAAGAATCCTTCCCAAGTAGAATCTTTCACTGGTTATAAACATGCTGACATCACCACCAGGTGGTCAGGGGAGTCCTAAGATTATATCAAAACTCACCTAAATCCAAAAAGACTTTGTCTAATATTCAAAAAAATAAATTGATATGCCTTATTCCCAGTGAGCCCAATCAAGCCCAGTGACAACCATTTCCTTTTCTTTTTTTTAAAAAAAATATCTTTATTGATTTCAGATAGAGGAAAGGAGAGGGAGAGAGAGAGAAACATCAATGATGAGAGAGTCACTGATCGAGCCCGCAACCCGGGCATGTGCCCTGACCGGGAATCGAACCCTGATTGCCTGGATCCTAGGTTGATGCTCAACCGCTGAGCCACAACCGTTTCCTAAGTGATTTTATAAGTGCTTACAAGCCTTGTCTAAAGTAATCTGTGGAGCCCACCTCCTTTGTATTTTTGCTAAATGGACATTAGTCATCTCCAGCCCCCAGCCCCTCTGCTGTCTGCCACACATCCTGTAGGTCACCAACTATAACCTCAGCACCCCAGGACAGAACTTGCCAAGGTCAGGAGATGAATCACCCAACCTGGGGTTCATGTCCCTCCTACCACATGTGTCCTACTTTTTCAAGCTCAAAAGAAAAGATGGAAACAAAACAGGACTCAAGTCCCTCCCATCTTTTTCTGTCCATCTAATGTTATGCCACTGGCCTCCAGCACCAGGCATCGTTTTGTTCCTCCCCCTCCCCCCCAATACATGGAACAGCCCTCTTGGTCACCCCGAGTTTCACTGCAAGCTTCAGCTCACTCTGGACCATATACTACCTTCATCTTTAGTTATATGTCCTTTCCATCTGGTTTCCAATCTCCGTCAACAGGGGGCGTTCCAAGCACTCATATCAGTTCTAGATACTGCCTTCTTTTCCTTATGGGTACCACTTTTTCATTTCTAAGAGCTTCCCAACCATTTTGAACAATTTGCCACTTAAGAATGTCGCAGTTTATCCTCTTCTATTCTGAAATTTTGAAAGCTGCTTCCTGAACATCTAGTTCCTCTTCTCTCCCCAACTCCCAAACTGTCTGCCAGGTCTCAAAGTGAAGACTGTACCTGGGGCCAGCCTTCTGAAGCATTCCATTTGGTAATGGCCCTGTCTCACGGCTCCCTCCTCACTCTCAGTTCTACCTTTTCTTTCCCTCTATGTCACCCTCAGGGTCTCAGGGCCTTCATTCAGCCTCTCCCTAGCCCTTGGAGGGTTCCAACCAGGGGTCCAGGTAAGGCTTCCACCTTGGACATTAGCCCCTGCTTCATATCTTCCTGCTAAGCTCCTCCCCCAGTCTCTCAGTTGATCCCCTTCTGGCTACTTTCCCAGGGCATACAGTTAGGGAGGTTCCTGGGGTCATCGTCTTTACCTAAAGAGTAATATGAAAAGTATGTGAAGGGACCATCCTTCCTAGTGCCCCTACCCTGACCCCACTGAAGTAGCCACCTCTCCTTGGAAGTGACCCTGACCCCAGTGCTGTCTTGCAGGCCCAGGCCAGTTTTTCTGGTTTTAGAGGGATGTCACTTGATCTTGATCTGACTCATCAGCCCTATGGGCTCTGTTCTTTCATTTTCATTCACTCTGTCAAAAGGTCCTGGGAGCCAAGTTTACACATTAAAAAAAAAAAAGTAAGCTGTGTTACCTTCTGAGATACCAAATTACTTAGATTATTCATGCATTCAACCTGACCTTTCTCCCAGCAAATGCCAAGGAGCCCTGGCAGGGCAAAACACTCCTGAGGGCTTTCTCTTACACACTATGAGGTCCTGGTAGAAGCAGGGCTGGGCATTAAAACAATCTCCTACATGCATAGTTCCTGAAAGACAGCTGTGTGTGTAGTCTCCTGGCAAGACCACTGCGAGCAGTTTTTATATCTAATGTTTTTAACCTGAACCTCTTTGTGTGATGTGACCAAGGCTTGGCCAGACCCTTATATGAGCTGCCTGTCTATATTTTGCCTAGTATTCATAGTGGTTTCTTTCTGAAACCAGTTGGCAAGTCTGGTTTCCTTTTCTCTGCTGAAGAAACATTAGCAATCCGAGCTAGGGTTCCTGGAGTCAGGGAACAAAAATAAACAGATTTGGGGTGATTCTTCCTCTTCTACTTTAG